GGCAAGGGTGATGTTGTTGGTCATGGCGGAAAACATGGACTGCATTATTCTTCACTAAAATAATGATACGGCAGCCAAATTTTACTTTAAAAACTTGCTTTCCCCCGATCGATATGTTAAGGTCAGCCTTCTTCATCTGTTCCATTCAGGATTAGTCTAGCACTGGAATATAATTCTTCAAGTAGCACGTTTCATCCATAGAGTTATATTTTTCTGTTTTGGTACGCTTTTTTCGGCAATTTTCTTCGTTTACGTACGACATTTCTCTAAAAGTGAACTCACGCGTTTTCAAAATTCATCACTTTTACTCCATGTCGTTCAATCTACCAAATGGTTGTAAATTTTTCCATGTTTTCTGGAGTTAAATTATAAGAAATAATAATTTAAATGGAACATAACAGGGTTAAAAATCCCAAATGGTGGGAGGCGAACCAGTTGGCTTTTTTACTAGTGTGGCCGAGAATTTGAACTCGGCACTACCGAGAACAAAATTAATAATGCAGCTGGCAGTCATTCAGCGCGGGACCTAAACATGGAACCTTCTAGTTAGAAACTTAAAAAGTTTGTTACTCAAGATTTTACTGATCCAGGTCTACTAAAGATCCGGCGGACCCTCACTGGTTTGTCGTTGTGGTTTTGCCTTCACAAGTACCTACTAGTTACAAGTGCAACGCCCTAACCACTCGGCCACGCTACCTCAAGTTCTAAGGGTGCGTTCCTTTGGAATGATCCGGATCAGGATCAGTGAACGATCATCCTAAAGGAACGATCATCCCAAAGGAACACACCCTAAGTTGGTTTAAATCAAATAAAAAAGAATCATGAAGTCGCCATCTTCTGTTCTCATCCTCAAGAAAACGTGAAATTAGGCAGTTTCTCTAATGTACAAAAAGTGAGAAGGACAAGCAAAGTTGTTGTTTTGCCAATCTAAACCATATTGTTTTCTGCCGTTTTCGTTGCCTTCGTGGTCGTCGTCGCTTAAGCTCCCTTAAGGTGATGTTACACGGGATGATTTGCAACGTCGATTTTTAGCGCAACAAAGCGTTGCAATGTTGAAAAAATGTTGCAGCTACTCGAAACAATGTTGCAACAATGTTGCAACGTTGCGTTAAAAATCGTTGTTGCAAATCGTCCTGTGTAACATCACCTCAACTGTTATTTAGCTGCTGCCGCTGTGCGCTAATTACCTTGAACAGTTTCCATCCTGGAGTGTACCAATCGTTGTTGCGCATCATTTTTATAAACTTGATCGGTTTTATAAATCTGGCATCACGGTAAAATGTATCATTCCTTCAGAGAATATAAAATGCATAGTTATGATCAGTGTCTAGCTACAATCTTGGACAAAACTGTTGAGAAAATTACATTCTTGGGGGGCATTTTTTCTAAATTTCGTAGCCGACTGATTCTTCCCTCCCCCCTCCCTCTGGAAGTAGTGTTGTTGGGTCTTCAAAAGAAAGACGGATCCCTATGCATTTGTAGGAAGCGACTTTGAACTGGGAGAGGGGGTTTTCTTTACGCAAAGCCGTTGATTTGGAAATAGTTTTGTTGCGTTAGGTAGTGCGCATTAATGAAAACATTTTCTCAAGTAGCTTTGTCCCGGATCGTAGCTAGTAAAAATCGCGTTCCTCCATATCTAATAAAGTGGATAGTCGTTTTTATGTTAATCAGCTGTACTTTTCACTAGAAACAAAAACATTTAAGTCCTCTTAACTTCGTTCCCTGTGACGGGATAATACGCGAACATTATGCTGCGTCAGGATACTGCAGCTTTTTTTAATTTAGCTCATTCCTTACGATACATAGCGAATTTAAAAAGCTTTGTTAGTTGGTCCAAGGTCTGTTTCGTTGCTGGACCTAATTAATATAATGATCGTTATGTCCTGCCTGGAAAATTGAGAATGTAGAAACGAAGGCAATCAGTCACGTCTACTTACGCTCCAGCTTCAAATACGTTTTTTCCATCATCAGTAAGCTCAATCCATCCAGTTTTTTCAGCGTTTCCTCCATACATTTCAATAAAGACTCTTGCATCTGTTCCAGCAAGAAATTCATCCACTGTTGAAACTGTAATTTCATATCCTACGGACAAAAATGTTTGACCGACCCGTACAAAAGTTAATATTAGTCCGCCGGATGGGGTATTCCAAGGCGTATTTAATATTTCTTCCTTTCTGATTGGTTTAAGTAGCGTTCCAGCCTACAAGGGTTGTTTTGTTTTGGGTGATTGATACCCTTTATCAAATTTGTAATTAGCCTGAACTTCAGATTAAACGCTGAACCATGCAACCTTTAAAATAAAAGACACTAAGCTGGCAGCACCATTCCAGCAGTGATATAACGCAGTAAGATGAATGTTATTCGAGATTATGCTACTATCCTTTTGAATGCTCATTTTTCCATACATCCTTTGAACCCTGTGCTAAACAACCGTTCAGTTTTCTTTTACCAATTATATGTAAGGAAAATCCAAACTCCACTCACTTTAAAAGGAAATTTGAAACGTTCCTTTATCGCCTTAGCCTAGCTTTTTCAGACTTTTTCATATTATATGGAAAATATGATTCTTTTTTAGATTATTTATTATAACTTACTTGCCGCTTGAGACTTTGAAAAGAACAAAATAAAGGCAACGGTTACTGGAAATGCTGTCCAGGACATTTCAAAGATTTGCGGAGGCAGAGAGATGTATTATTTTTAAACCAATCGTGGACAACCGTTGTAGCCAGCTCTTTGAAATGGAAACCAAAGAAGCTTTAAACTGTTACATGCAAATAATTGTCATGGAACGATTTGCTCAGGTGTCCTTAAATACAATGAACGAGAAACCCAAACCATCATGCAGAGGCAAACGGAAGTATTTTCACCAGGAGACCACAAAAGAAAAGAGACAGACTTGTTTAACAAAAAACAGCTGAATAAGTTATTTCGCCTTCATCCTATGTATTAAAAAAGGACCCGGTATTGATGATGTTTAGCAGATGAAATGAATAAGACTTATAAAAGAGTGTAATAATATTTAATATTAACCTTTTTTTGTGCAGATATTAAAATAAGAACATTTGAAAATTTACGCATCATCTTGATGATAAAATAAATATATGAATTTCATATATTTTAACTGCGGGATGAAAAAATAACAAATGTAGAGAAGATCATCTCAGTTGAAAACATAAGTAACAAAAGAAAGCCTGAAAAAATTCCGGCAAACCAGGATCACTCTTCGAGCCCTGACCTCCGCAGTATATACCGTTGCAGAGCTCTAACCAATTTAGCTAGCAAGCAAACTGGGAACTGGTTATTACACGAATTGGTTCGTGATAATCAAGGAAAGAAGAATCATTACAATGCTTAAGAATTAAAGAACATTTAAAATTCTGCCTGGTCATTCGTCAAGATTGAAAATCAAAACACTGAGATTTGATTCCAAGTTTAAATTCTAGTTCCACAAATCAGGGGCACTCAACGGGAAATTTTGAGAAAAAGACCTAAAAACAACAACAAAGCCTGAATAAAGTTTTCTGAGACTATTTTAAGCATTTTGGGAGATTGCTGGAAAAAAATTATCTGTTCCTCACTCCCAGCAAGACTGATGGAATAGTTCCCAGCCAGCAACC